AAACATCTGTCTGTGTGTCTGTCTGTCTGTATTTGACATGCATTTCATTTCTAGTTGACTTATTAATGTTTGCACTGGTCTGTCTAATATTACCAGAAGTCTGTCAGTCTGTCGGTATATGTGGAACACATACAGTATCTCGATAACCCTTCGTCTTATCAGCTTCACTCTTTTCAAGTGCCCATGGAAGTGCAGAGTTGAATTTAGTGCGACAAAGACACACAGTACATTCAATGTTATTAAACTTTTAATAAACGGGTGACCAGTGCTCTGTATTTGTGGCTGGAACTCATCAATTTAAGTCACATTGTCAACAAGAACAACAATGAGAACTCATTTTCCAATTCAGGAATCTGTGTACTGAGTCCAGCGTCACTAAACCTTAGGTGAAAAGCTATTCGTGCATTAGTGCATCTGTGGTGCAGCTTCAGGGTTTTGTGGACTGAGTCTGGCAGCGGCTCAATGACTACAGGTTTCAGAAAGAAAGCTGCAACCAGCATTACCACACGCCATGAGAGCAATGAATTCCACACAGGCAGATTTAGAATGGCACTGCACAAATTTTGCAAAAACTGAATTAGCTCATTTTCAAAATCATTTAAATCCTCTGCTGCGGCACTTCAAATGGAGGCTGAACTTCACTGAAGCTCACCTGTAGGCACATACAAGGTGCATGTTAGGAAAAATCCTTATCACAGTAGACCTTCAGGATAGAGTTGTGGTGCAGCAGGTGTATAAACCCACTTCTAAAGCTATGACGAGCACAGTGACCTCAATAACTGTCAAATGGATGAAGTGTGAAATCACCAGGACTCTTCCTAACAATGTGGCTGTTGGCCAATCTGATGGGTCTTGCTCCTGGTCTAGAAACCAACACGTGCTCATTTGCTCTTGCAAAGGTGTCTACCCCTCCACCCTCTCCCATTCAGCTAGATTGCCATCTGACTTGAGGCAGGTTGGGCCAATCACAGCCATTCATCTAAAATCAGCTGGGTTTGACATAATGCATTTTTTGTGAAAAACAAGATGGCTGTTGCTGATATGCAGAAGTCTTCTGAATCCACTTTCCTGACAGAATTCAAGGAATTTCACGCAATAATTTCTTTAAAAAGAAACAAACAACTATACACACAGTCTAACTAATTTCATCTGGAGGCATTTTACTCAGAGACGGTTAATTACCCACAAAATTAACTGAGAGGTTCTGCATGGATTTACTTTAACAAAGCCTCAGAGATCCTCTGCAGAGACAGAAAAACCTGCCATCAGGACGACCATCCCAGCACCACATCAATCAAGCCTTTATGCCTCTGTATTAAAATACCTGCGTAGAGTTTGTTAAATAGCATTTAAAGAACTCTAATTAGATAAAAATGTAAACCCATGTGCATCATCTGGTCATTACCATCCCACTGGTGAAGCATGGAGATAGCAGCATCACACTACAGGAGGTTTCTCAGCAGAGACAGGACTGTTTAGTACTGTGGCAAGGATGAATGCAGAGAGGTCCTCGGACAAAAGCTGACCCTTGGACTGAAGTGATGCCTGAGAAAGCCCAGACATCTGAGGAGGAGGTCAGAGCGGAGGAGAAAACTGCAGCACGTAAAAAATGAAGCTTCTAGTACAGTGACAGTTGGAAGAATGAGGTTATATTAGCTGCACTGTTTATTAACATGAGCATGACAGGACTACTACGACGATTTTGCAGATGTGTGTACATAATCTTCTGCAGCAAGAGAAGCTGCTCCAACTCTCGTTTTACTGCCAAAGAAAGTGGTTGAGATAATTGGGTTGAAACTGTTATCTTGTCGGGCAGGATTACCAATCATGCAAAGCAGGCAGCTGTCCTGGGGGCCCCGGGACCCTCAGGCGACCAAACACTGCAGGGCCATCAAGTTTCAAGCAGTTTGTGGTCATAAGTCATAAGTTGTATGTTTAAAAACTACATCTGCTCAAGATTCCCTCTGGTTCCCTGCACAATGCAGTACTTGTGCATTAATTCTGTTCTGGTTTCTGGATCAGTGACCTCCCTTTACTGAGAATCAAGGTTTAGCCTTCCCTCAATCACTGAGAGCGGACTGATAAGGAGATGGTGTTTGGATAAATGGACTGAAACTTCACAATAGGCTAGACGGTGTGAGCCACTAATTCACTGCTTTCTCAACAGATGCTATCAGAGTCCTATCAAACACCTGAAGGGATGAAACATGTTAACAACAACACACACACACACACACAGAGCTCTTGTGCAGCCTTGAACCACTCTGCCAGTCTCGACAACGCTGCAGGAGTGGACCTCAGCAGAATGCAGGCTTGTTTACAGTATGAGATCAGAGTGAAGAGCTGCAGACAGATCAGGTTTGGGTGGATCATATCTTGATCTGTTTGAACTCTCCTGGTGTCAGTTAGGAGCCCAACATTCCCCGTTGCTTTTTACTTGAATGCCCAAGAGCCCTGAACTCTCATGGTGATTATGACTCTCACGTTCAGCTTTCAGTTAGGCTCAGGGGGTGAAATCCCAAATTATGCTGAAAAATGCTGTTGTCGGTGCTTTGTAAGGTTAGGGACAAGTTAGTTGTCAACTGCGGTGAAGATCAAGTTTACACAAGTATGTTAGATAAACACGCCAGAAAACACTGCCTGTTAGAGAATGTTAGAGCATGAAAGTTAAGCTTCCACTTTCTTGGAAAAAGCTGACCTTTAGAAATCCAAGAGTAGAGAATGTTGAGTTTTGAATGTGAAAATTGAGAGCTAATACACTCATTGTATTCATTTCAGATCAACTCTCCTATGATGTGCTCTTTTCACACAATAATGGCTTTGACCCCAGGGGAACCTTTACCAGATTTTTTTCCCCCCTGGCAGCAACAACAACAACAGCAGCCTCCACTGTAAGGGAGGGGGCTGGTGTCTCCATGCCCTCCGTCTGACCCCCCCCCCCCCCCCCCCCCCACCCTTACCACACCAATGAGTCTGCAGCGTGGGGACACCAGAGAAGCACAAAGCTAAAACCTTTTTTCACTATTTTTTATTTTTAGGTTGAAGAAACATTTTGTATGCAAACGTTAAATTCACATGTGTTTTTCTTTCAATCACGACAGCAAAGACAGACTGATGTTGATTGTACAGTGTCTCTTTTTCTGTCTCACTTGTTTTAGAGAAAGCCGTCCACAACCCTCAGAGGATAAAAGATGGATGGATGGAAGGATAAACGGACGGACGGATGCATTTTTTTTTAATACGACAATTGAAGCAATCGGAGAGCTGCCTGTGGGAGCCAGTTTACTCATGGAAGTCTACATTTTACTGGGAGAATCCAAGAAACCTTCACAGTCACATGATCACAGCTCAGGTCAGTGAGGATGTCATTCACACCAGATATTTATGTATATATATGTTTACTTATTTTTACCTATTTAGCTTTTTTACATGAACATAGCTTTTGTTTTTGTTTTTGTCTTTGTTCCTGTTTATTTCTATGTATGTTTGTTTTTTTAAGTGTTTGTACTAAGAGAGCTAAGTGAAACCGGAGTCAAATTCCTCGTGTGTTCACACACCTGGCAATAAAAGTGATTCTGATTCTGATTCAATTCAATTTTATTTGTATCGTTCTAAATCATAACATTCATAATCTCGAGGCACTTTACATAGTAAGGTCTAGGCCAGGCCTTTTCAAATGGGTCCTGCAGGGAACGTGGACAAAACCGAAATTCCTACAATAGTACAGACCATGAATGCAACACTCCGCTTAGCCTGCATTGCATTTTCCGACGCTCCGCAAATGCATCGTATTCCCGGCAGAAATCCCGGATGTGATGACAGATGACACTGTGAAGTGGGAAGAGAACTTTGCCGCGCTATGGACGGACGAGGGACAGCCATATGTTAGTTACTGTTATCACTCGTTATGGGTTTGTGCTTTGATTGCTTTGTTTGCTTTGATTGCTTTGATTGCTTTGATTGCTCTTATTTATTCTATGAAATGCAATTTGTGATGTGTCTGCAGTATGTGACCAAAATATTTCTTGGAATTTTTAAATGGAAACACATTATTGCTAATACTGAGCACTGTTTTGTTTTTTTATGCACTTTATATGATATGACCAAAATGTTATTTTTCAAAGGTGGAATAAAGTATCGAAACCTCTTCAGATTCTGTTCAGTTAAAGCATTTTCTAATTGTTTTGTTTTTTAATGCACTTTGTGATGTGCCTGTGTCAGATGTGACCACATATTAAAGGGAAACAATGAATAAACATATACTTGTTGTGTTGGTTTAAAATGTGTTTGTTTACAGGCCACTAAAAATTTCTCCGGTCCAGACATTCAAATTCAGAGAGAAACCCAACAGCTCTTACAATTAACTTTAATGTCCCTGTAGCACAATCAGCTGAGACATGTGACCGACATGTGTTCATTACATAAACTGAAGAGAAGTGCTGCAGCTCTCTCTGGTGAATATCATGCGTGTTGTATGTTTCATGTCCTGCTCTGTGGTTCTGTTATGTAACCTCTTGTTCTTGGTGTCGACGCTGTCCATGGAAATACACCAAATTAAGTTGTTTGAACATTTTCCCAAGGTTGCACGTGATGCTTAGTGACTCGTTGCTGACTACAACATATCAGTGGGTTCCCTGCATCGACAGGTACCAGTGAACGTTTTCCCCACAGGTTAAATGTTGCAGGATTTGTTTTTGCTTCAGTGCAAAGTGCTCAGCCCCACCTCACCTTTATGGTCTGTGATTCTTCTCCCCATCCACGTTGTGGCTTCTATGATTTGAAGGAGACATTTTGCAGCATAGAAGATAGAATAAGAGCGATGACACAAGCATAACAAACAATAATTAATAACATAAGAGTTGTTGAGCAGGAACAGACACTGATGAATGTAAAAAAATAACACTCATCCCCACTCTTACTCCACAAGTGAACATGAGCACGTCGGTGAGTTCAAAACATTTTTTTATTTAGTACAGCAACAAGTTGTGTGTATGAAAATAAATCTAAGTGTAGTAAAAAACAATATTTGATACAAAAATATCACCCTTTCCATCTATTCAGCATTCATCATATTCACTCCATCACATCACAAGCTAGTAAGAGCACACTGAAACAAACTGAATCATATTTACAGCAGGAAGACAAAACAATACTGCAGACGCTCTCATCATAGCACGTTGTAGCACATCTCTGGGATCTGCATATCCCTCATGAAATAGTTCTCCTCCACTGTGCAGGGGTACGGATAGTCTGTGGGGTTGTAGTAAGGCATGTATTCGGGGGCAGAGAAGCTCTCCTGCTGGCCTGGCCAACAGTGGGGCAGGCAGTAACAGTTCTGGAGGTTGCAGTGCTGGTAGTGGTAGTGCTCTGAGGCGAAGCCATGGTGGCTGGACTCCATCCTGGTGGGCGAGTCGTAGCAGGAGGAGGAGGAGGAGGAGAAAGAGTCCTGCGGCGAGTAGCTGTTGTGATCCACGGGGCTGCAGAGCTTCCTCGACTCTGGTGGGGAGCTGGGAGCCTGAAAGAGAAGAAGACGTGCAGGATGGTGAGGATTATTTTTAGCATGACTTTGTAATGTCATGTCATGTGATGTGACATCAATACTGACAGTAGAGGCCACAGGCTCAAGCAGGGACGCCTGTGAGTGGTGTTTTTCTTTTAACAATTATTCCTTTATTAAAGATACTGAAAAAAATATGATCCTCAGGTGAGATGTTCATATCTAAAATGACTCAATTCTGCATTTTAACACAAAATGAGATGCTCTGAGAGAGGCTGCACAAATAAAAAGTGGCACATGCTGAATTCATTACCCTAACATCTATGCTAATGATAAACATGTATGCCAGACCTTTAATTGGTCTGTTTTAATATTTGTCTGTCTTTCTTTTTTGCAGTTTCAATTACAGCGCAGCACTTAATTGTTGTCAACTACACATTGAGATTTAATTGCAATGATTTTGTAATGATTGTTTGTTTAGCTGCTCAGATAAGACCCCAGAGATTAGAACTGCAGATAAAATCAGGTTTATAACTGACATGTAATTACAGTTCCTTAAAAAACACTGTCTTCTTGTGTTCATTCGTGGAGTTGTGTCTGTGTCTGTGTGAGAAACGTACCAACTCATGCCCATAATATTCGCCTTCTGGGGAGAGTCCATAATGCCACTGCAGCGAGAGGGAGTGAGAGGGAGGCAGGGAGGTGTTGTAACCGCCGCCACCGATGCTGTTGCAGTTGTTGTTGTTGTTGTTGTTGTTATCGTTGTTGTTTGTGTTGCTGCTGTCACTGTAGCAGTTGCTGGGATACGTCATGTCCCTAACCTGCTGATGGATGTCGTTAAATGCGTCGCCCTGCATCTGGATGCTGCACGAGCTGTCAGGTACCTGGAACTGGGCGGCTCGCAGCTGGAGAGCTCGCGCGCCACAGCTGCTCTGATCCGCTGGAGTGATGGACGGAGGGGGGAGCACATAGCGACCTGACGGGTTTACGTCTGAAAGAGAGATTGTGCGTAAATATCGCAAAAAATAAACAAAACGTTGACGTGCATAAAGCCTACATGGTGGACTGCGGGTTCAGTACAACATCCATGGAGTATATCCCAATCTAAACATCTGGCAGACACACAGAAGCGTTCCAAAGTTTGAGGACATTTATATTAATATTCTTGGGAGAATAAATGGCCACTGGTGCATTCGAATAAGCTGCACGAGTCTCTGTGTGGAATCAGACCACGGGAAGACATTTAAATAGGCCTTAAAGACCAGAGAGTAATGTCATCGCTCCAGCAGCCAACGCATTTGAAGAGCTGCGTAGCTGCATGCAAATCTGCACTCTCCAATTTGTGGGCTACATTCTAAATATGGGCGCCTGTGGCGGCTACAGCTCAGGGTGGAGCCATAAGCTGCTGCAGATCTGTAAATTTAATGGCTTTTATCAGCACAGATCTTTTACTGTTGCTGCCACGAGGGAACTTACTTGCAAAAGTGGTCGCGCAAAGATCCTGGAGATCCAAGCAACCCTGGGATATCGGTCCAATCTGTCCATCAGGAGGGAGAGGAGGGAGACAACAGTGTTAGATATTTTTTTTATCAGGACAGTTGGCGTTGAATGAGTTAGACTCTGTGTATTTGTCAGGATGTGCGTGCTTATCTGCCAGTCATTGACAGGGACCGTTTATTGTCGCTCTCCTGCTTTGTGTGTAAAAATGGTAGAGTGGCAGCAGGATGGAGAGAGAGAGACAGAGAGAGAGAGAGGGAGAGAGAGAGGTGGGGTGAGGTGGGAAGGGGGTTTTACCTGTCTCACTTTTTTGCTGTTGGCCTCCCGGGCTCTGTGCCTCTGCAGCAGCTCTTTGACCGTGGTCTTCACACGAACGCCCTGGTACACCCTCGGCTTATCTGGATGAAGAGAACAGCATGCCGCTCATGTTTACTAAGCAGCAGACAATAACAGACAATAACAGGCTCCTCTCCACCACTGCTCAGCCCCTCCTCCATCTGCAGCCCACAAAGTGCTTTCTCCCCCTCAAACTCAAAACATGAAAATAAAATGTCGTGGATTTTTCCCTATATGTCACCAACACTTTCACATTTAACTTCTCCCTCCTGTTCACTTACAATCGTGACTAAGTTGCCCTATTTTCCTCCTATTAAACTGTTGAATGTCAGACTTTTTATGTGGGAATATGTTGGTCACAGACGCACAGCATGATATAATAAACAATACATTGTTAAAACCATATGTGGCGCTTCGAAGTCTACATTTGTGTCCGAATAATTCGTGCGTAAAAGCGCATTATCGGTGCTCAGGGCGCGCTGTGGCTCTGGCTACTTTTTGACCGCTTGTCCCTGCCTGAGCCCCCCTGGTGCTCCCGGCCACGGCTCGCTCTTTACGGCATGGCTCGGCGTGTCCTATTACGCCGTCAGCCGAGTAGTTAGCTGCGCCCTGTGTGTGTGTACGATCCAGCCCGTCCAGACGAGGAAACAAAGGAAAAGCGGCACAAAATGAGAAACCGTAAGTGTACGATTCTGATCATAAACGCAGATCTGAGCGATTTGAATGTAGAGATGATAAAATCTGGATCGATGTTAGGATTGAAATGTGTGTGAGATCGTTTCTTAAATTTGGAGAAAGGCGCAGCGCCAAAGAACGCACAAAGACAAGGGGAAAAGAGAGTCCGGAGTAAAGCGATCGGAGGCTAAAACGTAAAACTTTTCTCGGTTAACACATCGCAGATGTAGATCTGGGGTAAAGTTGATAAGAGTTACAGTCGATTCTAAAGTAAAGCTGGAAACGTTTAAAGCAGCGCCGCGGCGATCTTTAAAACATCCCTGCTCTTTTACGCAAACGTAAAGTCAAACCCGCGTAGAGTCTTTTAGTTCAAAATATTATTTCGTGCTTTGCATCGATCACGTTGTTGTTGTCTCACGGCGGAAAAAAAATGAAGAACGATTTCAGACTTATGTTGTTTATAAACCAAAACTCAAGCTCTTAGCCAGTAATCATGTAACTTTATTCAAATCACCCCATCCTCCCACTCTGGGTATTTGACTGTAAAAATACTATGGTTTTTAAATAGGCAATTGACCTTAGTTTTCCTATAGGTGAATCTTGATTAAGGAAACATAGAGAACGCCTCGCATAGGTGCGCGTAATTTAGACCCAAAGGCGTCATTTAAAGCGCTCAGGAGTGGCGAGCCGTTTGGAAAAAGGTCATTAGATAAGAGACGAAGCCTCGACTGCGAAACCCATCTGATAAATATTCATACATCTAAACGCTACTTCATGGTTTGTCTTAAATGTGGCAAATAGTGGGCCAAAATTACAGAGCAGACACATCCCACTTCAACGCGGTTACTTAAAACGTCCTGTTACGCAGATGGCTGAAGGTATAAACGGCTGAAATGTCTGTTCCACCCGTAACTAATCTTTAATTAAAAGTAAACTCTTTGAAACGACCATGCAGATATGCTGACGTGTGCTGATAGACTGTGATCACGAGAATGAAACATACATGAATCTATAAAACGTCGGTAAAGCAGTAGAGGAGTGTTTGAGTGAGAAAAGCAGACGCTCCTGATCCGCCCAAAACAACCAGGAGACATGTGGCAATAAACTGCAAACTTTAATGCACTGAAGTTTATTTATCTGCTGGCCATTCTTTATAAATACCGTCAAACTGCTATTAAATCTACACCTGCAATAAAAAGAAGAAACCCCAGTCACCTTCACGTGCGGCTCTGCTTTGCATTAAATTTTGCCACTAAACATTACATTTTTCTCTTTTGTCTTTTCTGTCCCATACAGGAGAAAAAGCAACGAAAAAGTGATTTCCAGATGAAAATCCGACATGAAAACTCACCAGACATGATGGAAGAGAACAGGAGAGGCTCTCTGGAGAAGGTCTATGGGGCTCCACAACGTCCTTTTCTGGCTCAGCAAAATGGCCAAGAATGAAATTTGTGCAAAAGTATTAAAAAATCTCGACACAAATGTCTTAAAACGGAGTCAGAGCATACAACAATATTGTAATATAGCTGTGGACATATTAGTTTGAGATTTTCTCCCTCCATGCCTACTATTTAAAACCCCTAGAACTCATTGATTTGACAATGATTTGATTGCGCGTTACTTTCAATTTGAATATTCAGAGGCAATGGAGTTTTATCGATTTTTCACTAAAAATCACTACGCACAGACATTGTATAAGATCCACTTTAATGTAATCTATCGGAATTTCACACTTCGATCGAAAAGAAACCATACTTTTATTAATTTTATCCTCCTTTTGCAATATCACAGCATCACACCCCCTCATTAAGCACTACAGCACTGGGTGCATTTGCGCAGGCTTAGGACCGCAAATGCACTCATATCTGCACACCACACGCTTGCTGGGGTCACTCTGCGTGGCGAGATTATTTTTAAACATAATTTTAAACTTTATTTCAGAGAATAACGCATAAAACTGGGGAAGAAGTGGGCGTGGCAAAGGGCCGTAGCCATCTTTGGCACTGCAGGCCCTCAGCTCCGCATACAGCAAGTGCTCTGTGCGCACTCACCTGCTGAGGGCAGCGGGGGGACGAGTCTGCAGCTCGGTGCGTCTCCAGCCTCCCTTGTTCTCACTTTTAATCTCAGTGCAGAAGAATATTAATCACACATTTGTGCAGATTGTACACACTTTGTCAGGAGCCCTGTCGATGTGTGAAAACTAAATTCCTTAATTCAGCAGCAAATCCCCCTCCAGCCAAGTGTATCACGGCGGATGAAAAGGAAAACTTAAATTAATTTTATAATAATTTATAGAAGGCTGCTTTTTAAAACGTTTTGCTTAATTTTTTATTTTAATTTTTTCGTCAGCCCGCAACAATTGACCCTGTGCACATCGGCATCAATAAAATGCTGTAACATGTAAATGTGATAAGTATTTCTTATTTTTTTTTAAAGAAATGTGTTGGTCCCACATGATAAGTGACCAAAAGATTAGAAATTATATCAAATAAAAAGAATATTTCATATATTTTACATGCGTCATTTTCAGCCAGCTGCAAACACCTGCAGCAATTTAACCTCTCAAGCTGGTTCGAGGTGATGAATCAAATCATTATTTTATTTTAGTTGAAATCTTGAATCATTAACGTCCACATCTATACTATTATCATTGTTGTGTTTAGTTGCAGTGGTGACAGTAGTGGTGCTGATCATTTCTTTACTCCAACCAAACAATTTATCATTTTGTGTCACAAGTGTTCAAGTTTTTGTTCTTTGTTTACCTGAAGCACTTTTCACAGTTTGCCTCTCACTGCATCACTCACACGATGCCTCTTCTTCTTCTTCTTCTTCTTCCTCACCCCTGCTCTCTGTGAACGCTCCATTAAAGTCACGTTTCTCTCCCTCTGTCTGCAGCTCTGCAGCGCCTCTCCTCCTGCAGCCGCGGTGCTCGGGCGCCACCTAGTGCTCAAACACCACCATGTCCTCTCCCCCCTGTGAACATGAACCCAACCTGTCCTCTCTAGCACTGAAGTCTAATGACATGTTTACTGCAACTTGTATTTCTGCATCCAACATCAAACCCATATACACACAGTTTAAAGATTTTTACTGCGACTACAGTCGATTTCTGGGGAAAAGGAAAAACACGGAATGAGACAAAGGTGGTGAGACGATACGCTTGAACGTGTCGGATAAACACTTGTAAGTTGCTTGATTAAAAAAGCTCCATGAAACACAAGGTTTTAACATCTATAAAAAAGTAAATCAGACTTTTATATTTATGTCTATGTAGCATCTATAACTGATGCATAAAGATTTGATGAATCTTTGATATCATCTGATTTCATCATGTCATCAGTAGTTTCACACATACTCATCATTTTGTAAAAGCTGTCCTGTGAATAACGTGTATAAACATGTATTTAATAAATGTTTCGTAACACATCTTACATTGAGTGAATATGTGAATATAGTCAAATTTATATCCTCTATCAGGATACTACGAACATTTAAAAAATGTCATTAATGCTTTATTACACACATTAAAACTGTAGTTTTCTGCAGAAATTATCTTTTTTTGAAATATTCATAGTATTTTTGAGAGATTCACTGACATTTTAACATACAAATAGCTCATGTAAGTGACACAGTATCACCCAGTCTTTGAATGCTATATAGACAGGGTTAACGTGTTTAAGAAATCAGACTGATTGTACTTTGTTCACTCCATAACCAGGTAACATGTATTAATAAGACAGATCATCAACATCTCGGGCTCTTCATAGTTTTAACTTATTTTTCTCCACCTGAAGTTTATAGGCAAAACAAATGGAGTTCTGTATTTATGGTAATTCTAACAATCTCCTTCGCAAACGGCCATAAACATCTTAATAATCATCTTTCAACCATTTATCCATCTGCTCACTTGTTTTTCAGAAATTCCCACTAACAGTTTGTGCCGGGAAAATATTGACTCAGGGAGGTGTCTGGTGCTCTTGGTGCTGCAGCTGCAGTTTGGAGTATAAATATGATTCTCACACGGATCTGAAATCCAACTTGTATTTTCAGCTAAACACAAATACATCACAGGTATACTGTACATTTTACTGGATAGATCATAAATTATTTTCAAATTAGCTAAGCAACTAAGCCACTGCAGAAGTTCCCTGTTTGGCAGAGAAACCTTGTTTGGCTCAAATGTCTGTTACATGGCTTTTTAAAACAAACACAAATCCTCATATCATACACCATCAAAAATGAAAACCCTATTTTATCCAGTTTGCACCACTAAGGGTTTGTTTTTGTTTGTCATTTTTTATTTTAGAGCTTATCACAAGTTATTTCTCCACTCTTTATCATATAAACCAAACAAAAATGACAATAAATAGGAAAGTTGCCATCACACCAGGCTGTAATATGGACATATGGACACCTTGATGCTATGGATGCAATTAAAATTGTCCTTTTTACAAAACAAGTCCCAGAATTGTCTCTGCACTGTCTGTGAAACTTCCACCTTCCTCTATATTCTGACCCAGTAGCCTGTCATCCAGTCAGTATGCCCTCCTGATCTCATAGGGCGACCAGGGGCTCACCCCGTCCTCTTTTGCCCAGGAGGCCTGAGCCTCGACATTGTTTGGGAGGCTGCCGTGGCCGTCGGACTCCTCCGTAACCATCTTGGACACCAGATCGCTGGCAGGACTGCTCATATATGGAGGGCAGGTGAAGGAGGAGGAGGGGGTGATATAGGAGCTGCTGGTTAAAGAGTGGTAGTGGGCTTCCTCCAGAGAGTGCAGGCTGTAGGGCTGGCTGCCGGGGACGGAGCACATGGAGGAGCCTCGGCTGGTGGACCGGTACTGGGAGGGGCTACCCGGGGGCTCTGGACTGGGCATGGAGGGCGGGACGCTGACGGAGGCCAGGCTGTCAGGACAGAGAGCCTCCACCTGGGATACTGGCTCTGGAACCGACTGCTCCCATGAGTCTCTCTGAAGTGGAAAGACAAGAGAGGAGAGGATGAATCATTGAACCATGTATTTCCTCCACGTCCACCATCAGATACTGGAGCACTGTCACATGAGAACAGCACCTCTTTTGTGATCTCATTTATTTTTTCCCTGATTCACTGATGCCAATGAAAAGGCCATTCATGCTGCATTCAATTATGCTTTCAATTTTGGATTTTAAAGTGACAGTTAAGGTAAAAACAATGCTGCTGGTGGTTCTTACAAGATTGAACAAATATTACATTTCCTGTTTTAGTTTCAGTTTAACTTAAATATTAATCACAACACCGTGACACTAATTCATCAACACTGTAAAAGACGTTAAAACTCAGAGACATATCTCCTTGAGCAATCAGCAACACCAAAAAAGAACCTGTCTTCACAGCTTGTTTACACTGCCTCTAAGTGGCAAAACAAGAAGATCAGTTAATCCAGTTTTTAAAATGAAGGGCCAGATGTGGTGGAGACTACATTTCCCATCTGCAACTCAACAGTCTTTCATTCAACCACCTCACTTGCCCCACATCTGTTTAACTGCATACCTCCAGGTTGTAAAGAAAGAATCCCGAAAGAAGCCCACCGCAACGCCTCAAGCTCAAAAAACCTTTCCAATAAAACCAGTGGCTACAGCTCTGAGACACATTTTCAGCACAGGGTCGTCTCAGCGTCTAACGCCTGTTAGAAGCAGACACCACACAAACTGGGACCTTTCCTTTATTTTACAGTGGGCATTGACGGAAACAGATGAACAAAACAACCAGAAGTAGGGACGTCCTGATAGACTGTTGGCGTGATGCATGTGTTTGATTCTGACCGGTGATCCTCGCTGTCACTATCTAGCAAATGTAAAAGGACATGGAACCAAATGGACATGTGGCAAAGCACATCACACACTGTAGCTGTTTGAAACTTGACGCTACGGAGATGAGCTGCAGTCAAATGACGGCAGATTTGTATTTTCAGAAGAATAAAAGCTCAACTCTCTCTCTCAAGATGAAGAGTGGATGCTTTTCTCTAAATATCAGAGAAAACATACGGAGCTTTTACCAGCATGCACTAGGTTTTAAAAGATGGGTTCATAACTTTCAAAATACAGGTTCTCATATGAACCTCAAAACTGTTTCGTTTCACTTAGCACACGCATTCGTCACTTGCTATACCAGTGATGTGGCCGACACATTTATTTTATTTTTATGGGGAACACATATTTATATGTTTTCCCTAAGTCCATGAGTTATTGCATTAATCACATATGATTTGTGAGGTTGAATGGTCATGATCATTCTCTCTTCACTGAGTGGGAGCTGTTGGGTTTCTCTTTAAATCTTATTTAAGAAAGTCTCTGGACTATGTGAAACACTTTGTAACCTTGTTTAGATGAGAGCTGTAAATTACTGCTTTCTGACACAAACCCTGATACTGCCTCCTACCAGAAACAGATGTGAGGACTCTCCGTTGAAGGGAGGTAGCAGGGATGAGAGGGCCGACGAGGGCAGGAAGGATCCTCCAGAGCTGGAGAAGGCGGCGGTGCTGCGGTAATCACCATAGCCCTCTGGGTAGTAGCTGTCAATGAGGGAGGAGTAGCCGGTCATCGCGGACGGCTCGCAGCCCAGAGGTTTACCTCCGAGGCTGGAGGTGTAGACGTCAGGGGAGAACTGCTTGGTGGACGGACAGTAGTCTGAGTCGGAGATGAAGGGACGCCTCACGCCATAGTAGCTGGGCAACATGTGAGACCCTGCAGGGAACAACATACATCAAATCTTCACAGCAGGAGTACAGCTCTTACACAGGTTGTGTCAGAACATTAACTGGGGTCTGTAGTAAAACTCAGAGTGATAATGACAGAGCTGATGGAGACTGTGTTGGCAGATGTATTTTGCAGAAGTGAAGAGTGAATGATGAAGATCTATGAGCAGCAGATTCTCACCTGGCATCTGGACAAAGGAAGGCGGAGTGGTCGATCCTCCCTGTGGTAAAAACATGAGAGTGGGAGTGAATCATGCAACCTAACAATGTAATATAATAATAGAGTAACCTGTGAAGGTGTTTATAATGGAGACAAAGGAGAAAGTGTTTCTTTCAGTCTCACGTGAGGTTTTAATGTTCTTAGTCACGAGCTTTTGTTTCATAACATTTCATCCAATTAAAGTTTTATTTCATGATGCCACTTTTTTTTATTTCAAACCCTGGCCTTCATTAAGACAGTTCTTCTGTAACATCTCTTTTCATAATAATGTTGGCTCAACAAGTGCTACCAAATTTAGACGGTTAGCGCAAGTTAGCTCAAGAAGGGGTCGTCCCATTTACAGCCAGTCTCCCTCAACAGTGCCAGAACCTTGAGACCCCCAGTAACCCTGGAGGAGGTTGAAGCACACAAAGGATTTAACTCCTTTCCTTTCCATTTTAACTGTTTACTTTTATCTTATATTTATTAATATACTGTATTGACATATGATACATTCAAGAATTAGTTAAACAAATTACGTCCTACAGTACTGAAGTAAAATTATGTTTGTATTATTATTCTTATTTTATTTTTCCTGGTTTTTCTTTTTTTAAGAATTAATAATACATCAGATATAAGATGATACATGTTGATAATCATGTGATCATTTAAAGTTGCTCTTTAATTTTACTCTGACACATACAATATTTTATTTAATATTTTTCATCTCACTGTAGTATCTTAGAAATAATTTTTCAAATTCACTAGACAACCTATTGATTTGTTAACTTTCAGGGAAAATAATACAATGGAGAGATGAAATCCCTGTGTTCCATCCTGTTTGCTCAGCATTTCCATATAATCTTCAATTAAAAGAACATATTAAATATTTAACTAACATTAATGAAATGTTCTTACATATTCTATCATTTTTCATTCCTGCAGTTTCAGTCGGAGCATAGTGCAGAGACGTGCAGCGCAGGGTCCCAAGGACAAGGTTGGCCAGGACAGGCTTGTTTGCATATTGCCAGCATGAAAGAGTTGATATTAAGCCCGTGTTGGGAGGGAGGCAAGCAAATTTTGAGGGCAGAATTTGAATGTGATTTGCCAGTGCCAAGACTTCCTCATGTGGCCCAGGTACGGCTCAGTGCATCTCTGAAGGCTGCGTATGGAAATCAGCACACTCAAGCCCTGACAGTCAGACAACGTGTGTGCATTTGTGGGGGTGGGGGGGTGATGATGATGGATGTACTTCACCTTATTTCACAGAAAAACTCTTCCTATAGATATCGTTTATAAATATAGTTTACACACACATCTTTTTAAAGAATATTCTTACTTGAAACATACAGTTCAAGTACAAGTTCTCAGTTTCTCACAACTTTATTTTTGAAAATTAACCATATTGCATATTATTTTGGTTCTATTCCATTGTGTTTGATTTTATCAGACATGCTTCCGTGCAGAAATAATTAGTTTCTAGATGATATGATTTAACATTGGTGTTGCTTTTAGCTCTTAGCGAGGTGAGGAATTGTGAACTTCTTCTACATCACACAGAAATTCATTTGTCACCGTCGTGGATCATTTATGTAACATCAGCATGTTCAGGCAGTCCGCTTTAAAAGAGATGTTCTGAGTAAAGAGAAATGATGTAAGATCTTTATATTATCTCCGTGTTCCAACATGAGGACACTCTCGCTGTGGTCAGAGTTTGCTCTTCTCTCTCTCTCTCTCTCTCTCTCTCAAAGGCCTTTTATTCCCAGGGATGAAAGAGAAGCATTAACTAACAGAAAGTCGTGGATGGATGTTACTGTGCATCATTAGGTCTTCATGCATCATTTATAATCACACAAGTGAACGTTGCATCGAAAACATGCTGAATTGCAGGTCAGACACAGACGGGTGACGATTAAAGGTGAGTAAAAAAACAGGAAATAGCAGTAACTAATGCAAGTGACATCCCATCATGCTCTCTGTCAGGTATAAAAATGCTGTCCAGGCCCAGTTGATTTGGATTTTGCATAAAGGTGGATCTATGTGAAACTGTTCATTGTTGGGGCAGGAGCTTCAGTCACGAAGACACTAACTGTGTGTTTCAAGTGGCAGTGACAGTGCTACACAAAGCTGGTTTACAGGGTTGGCTCTGGAGTGAGAAGAACCGTGTGTGTTCGAAAACATCAACGGACCACACACGTTCAACTTATTCACTGTGTAACCGTTACCGAGCAACAGCGCCCTCTGCAGCAACACAGTGATTATTTCTGTGTGGCTCTGTGTCCGAGCAATCAAGTGGTTTCCATGTTGAGAAAATCTAAATCTATCAATGTCTTGAGTGGAGCTACGACTGCGTTGTCCCACTCACTGAACTGAAACAACGGAATGAAGGATATTACCCATGATCCCCGGCTTCCTGAACCAGAAGAGCTGCGGCTGTTACAAATCTACCAAACTCTGTTTAGAATTCCTCATATTTTAACGGTTTCCTGGCTGAATTTTCAGATAAACGATGGTTTTAATGGCTTCTATGTCTTTTGAACTGATATACAGCTCTGCGTTACTTCTTCCTCTTTTGGTTTATTGACGGGTGGCAACCAACGTCAAGGTGCATTTTGTGAATTTTTCTACACATGGGCCATATTAAATTCTTTTTTCTAAACCTGTCTCTTTCAGACAATGAGAGGATACTCCCTTTTCAAATGGTAAATACAATTTCTAAGCTCAGTTCTTCAACTCCATTCTTTACAATTTCCCTCATTGGCTTTTCTCACACTTTAACATACTGAACTTGTGAACTTGCTGGGCACCAATCGAAGCTACGACCGTCAGTCAGTTCATTGCATCTCACAGGAGATTGTACCCGCTCACCGAAGTTAAGTGAAGCAGGAACAGACATTCAGTGTGAGGAGCGTGAATGAAAGCAGAACCATTTTCTTATCAATTTAACTTCAAACTAATATTAAAGCTGCTATTTTAAGTGGGGAAAGTTGCATAGTGTTGTTTAAAAATGGGTTAGGGTTAGGGTTAGAAAAGGTTTCTCTTTTTGGTTTCTCTGCTGGACAAGATGCAGGTGGTACGCTCACTGTGGTTATTGTATCTGTGTCATGAAAGCGTGTGTAAAACAATAATACAACAATGGCCTACATTGTGTGTATTATAAATGAGTGAGTGCCAGTTTGATTATATTCCCTATGGACAATGTGAAAATGCTTTAACCAAAGAAAACAGCATCAGATTATTTAAAGTTGTGTGTTGATGGAACAGTCACAGTCTCACTGCCTTAATGAGAGAGTTTGGCTGTAACAGTGAACATAAAAACATAGAGTAAAGGTAGAATAAGTAGTGAACAGTCATACTTGGCTGTAAATATTGTGATGAGAGGTCGGGATCTTTCCTCTTGGAGCTTTTGAGGTGCCGGTGCAGGAAATGAAGACAGACAGGCTTTGCTTTCCAACTTAAATCCACTGTTTTCTTTTAACAGGTTAACTTAACTCTTGTAGTCAGCAGATAAACGAACAAAACCACGTATTTGAATCAAAAACTCTCGTTCACTGTCTTCATTGTCAACTAACAACAGAACTGCCTCTCCCTCCACCTCAGAGTCTCTTCTTCATCTGCTCTGTTCACTTCCCTCTCACCCCCCTCCCTGGGGCGATCAGCTAAATATCGTTCAGCTGGGCAACAATCCTTGTTCTGACTGCCCTGCTGACTATGGGTTTTGTAGTTCTTTAATGGAGGCCATGGTGGGTTGTAGTACTTGCGACAGCCACCGGGATGGAATGTATCTCCCCTTTATGACACATCCTCTCATGACATCACAATATCTAAAGTTATCCACCATTAGCTTCTCATCATATTAGACTGACACTATAGCAGCACAGCTCCTCAGTGTTTTGGAGTCAAAGGGTGTGTTTTATTGATTATTAACTCAATTTTAATTCGTCAAGAATTACATAGAGTTCGCTCTAATGCTGATTTTATTTTATCTAAAGATGCTTCTTCATTGTAAACGTTTTGGAATCTATAATAATTTGATATTTTTTAAAAATGAAAGAGGGTTTTAAGTATTTTGTTAATGCTGTCATTCCAGTGGTTAGAGAGTTTTTCATTCATTCCTCTTTTCAAGACTCAAAGGCAGAAGCTGTCTCATCTGTGGACTCATTGACCCCTGACAGAGACACTTATTTCCTCTCCAACCCACAATGCTTCCACTTGCATGAACATATTGTTCCAACATGGAGCTCATCACGTTCCAAACACTCTGCTTTTGCTCCGTTCATGTCAGAGTAGAAATTAGCCTGAGCATGTTCAGGACAACAATGTCTCAGCAGAACATTTCATGTCGTCATCTGATAAACATTGAGTCATATGCAGTTGAGGTTATAGTTATGAAGAAATCTTTAGGGAAAAAAATCTTTGGCAAAGAATGGAGCTCTACATCAGAGACAGGATCAGGAGCTGGATACTTAATGTTAGGATCATTTCATTGTTAGTTTGGGTCTGTTCATGGGTCTTTTCATTTGATTTACAAGTCTACCGTTAATTTGCTGCCTGTGTTTCATCTCCCACATCAGCTCAGCTCCACAAAATCTGAGTTTAAATCACCACCAGTCTCTCTTCTCACTCAGAATCCTCCACATCACAGTGCATCGACCTGATGGATGACATCTTTTCTTCTACATGCACTCAAGTTACAAACCTCAACATTTATTTTTTTTTTTATACTCCTGAATTAGAGAGGGGTCATTTTCGGACATTCTTTTTGTTAAATCTAATTGTATTTCCTCTTGTGTGTTTCATGCAGTCTCCTCATTACCTCGGTGGTTAGCGGGCTGCATATCTATAGAGTGGACATGCCGATGCTGAACAGAAACCAAACAGTGAACACTGCTGTGTGAAAGCCTTTTGACAGGCAGTTTGTGGAAAATGAAAAGCCCGTCTTGCTTGTGCATGCAGACGTCTATTTTCTGATTGCATGTGTGTGTGTTTCTGAGACAACAATAGGAGGTTTGTCTGCAGCCTGAACACAGCAGAGGACAATGTCAGCTGGCAGGTGTGCATGGATCAAACTTTGCATAGACAGCCTCCTACACTGCCCTTTTTCTGGTTCTCTATGCTCCCCGTCCACCTCAATCCTCCCACCACACCCCTGCCTCCACCTCGGGCCAGCTTCTGGGAGATCACGGCCTTCGCCGTTGCGATCATTGTGTCAGTGTTCTTTTGTGAGGTCAGGATGGGCCCTGGCGCTTTGTGTCTCTCTCTACACACACCACGTTCGGCTATTTACAGATTGGCTTTGCAAGCACTTGAGGGGAGCGGAGACAGAGGGGGGAGGTACAGGCGGTCAATGGATCCACCATGGATCGTTGGTCCACAAAACAAGACGAAATGTAAACAAGGAGAAGAGATTCTTTAAAAGCGACCTCTTAATTGTGTTGCCCAACAGAATGTCAACTGTGGCCGTGCTGTTTGGTTTGGGAGACAAATGAAGTGGGAAGAGACAAGAAGGAACAAAAGCAGAGCAGTTTAGAGGAGATTGTGCTTACACTGTATCTGGGCCCATTTGTCTGTCGGGATCTCTTCTCTGCCAGCAGGTCTTTGACTGTATGCTTGACTCTGACGCCTTGGTACACTCGCTTCGAATATTCTGGACAGATCAGAAGAAGAGAGTGTGAATACACATCGGATACAAATCCAGAAACAGTTTGACTTGCAACACAACTTCATACAAATTTTCATCCATCCCCACAAATGTGTGTTCATTTGAATGTTTCACAGTTTTATGCATATAGGATAAGAGAATGACTCTTTGGGATTGGTGTGTAAATGCCATGGAAATTGCCTTTGGTTTGGTCGATGCAAATGGTTTAAAAATATGCAATTTACAAACACCTGCTCACAAACTAAAGGAAGACTGGCGTTTAAAAAAAAAAACAGTATTGCAAGAGAATCAAACATTTAAATAAAAATTAGAAATACTGTGAGCGTGCATCATGACAGCAGATCATTTGATATTACGTTGCTTTTCATAAATCTCAAACGTTTGCATGTGAGAAGGAGACATTCCTAGGAAGCAGAACCATTAATGAGAATGCAAAATTTAATTTGCAGATGAATATTGCATGCAAAAAAACCAAAGATCACGGATTGAATGGATCTTTTCGATAAGCTATGAAATCTATCATCTTGTGAATAGTTATTGCATATTTAAAGTTATGAATGACATTACAAATGTTCAAATATCAAACATGGATATATGTAAATTTAAAACAAAAATGACTTTTGTCCTTGTCTGATGACACTTAACTGATCAACTTATTATGAGATATTAGCATCAGCAAAGGAGACTGTTGATTTGCACGGATGTCGTCCAATAATGTCATCCAGAATACACTTTAAACTGTTCCCATGCACTTAATCTAAAAAGTAAAAATACATATATATATATATATATATATATATATATATATATATGCATTCAGCAACAGAAAGAGAGACATCAATATATGAACAATTTAGTCTCACCTGTGTCCATGATGCTGTTGAGCAGTCTGATACACACACCCACTCACACAAGTACACACATATAGACACAGACACACAAACACACAGACAGGCCTCTCTGTTGTCCCTCTGCTCTATTTGCCTACAGTAGTTGAATCCCTGTGTGCAGCACCATACTGAGTGGTGTGGCGTGCCACGCTGGGAGCTTTAACCACGCTGTCAGGAGGGCAGGGACACATGGAACATGCCACCTCACACTGCAGTCATGAGGAGGCAGCTTTTCAAAATGACCTTTATCTATTTGTTTAAATGCAAATGTTTGGTAGGGACGTTTTTCAGACTATTTGCATCTGCAGTCAAGATTAGGGGATGGAAGCATCATGAGTGTGGAACAGGGACTGGGAAGCAGCATGTCACTCCTGTCCGAGCCCCCACTAATCACCCAAAGTTAAGAGGACATAATATTTCCAAGATTTGATTTGTAGCTTCAATTTTCTAGTGACTGTTTTGTGGGATAAAGTCTGTTCAGTTTGAGTTGTGGCATGTTTGGAATGAATACAACCTCAAGAAGAACATACCAAAGCCAAAAGTTTGAATCAGGCAGTTGATTAAAAAAAAAAGGACTTTTTTATTTTTAAATAAAGTTTTTTTCTGAAATTGGTGTGGTGAAATTTGTATCATACACTATAAGCAATCTACAAACTAGACTGACACTCAGTGGAGCACATACCTCCAGCCAGGCTGTACCAAACTGCACACACACAAAGATATCAGTTCTCTAAAAATGCCAGATTTTTTTCATCAAGGTCAATGAATTATAAAACAGCCTCAATGAAAAGTCACACAAGTTTCCAATACTTATATCATTTATATTTTCACACAATTTCAGAATTGGTAGTGGAATTGGTCTGTTTTCATATTCAGTGTACATGTAATTAAGGTACCAAGTCCAGGAGCACTCTCCATTTCAGGTAAATCATCAGAGTCAAGGACAATGAGTTAATAATTAAAATAATGTCTATGATTGGGAGAAAATGTGCAATCTATGTCAAATCATAAATTGCATTTCTTTGGTGCGATTACAAACTGAAATGTATTCGTTATATCTCCAAATATCTTCCCAGTTTTCATTGTCAATTGTGACTTAAAGTTCCTTCTCCTAGGTGCTGATCAGTGATGGATGCAAAACTCAAAGCCTTATGAAATAAACTGACAGACATCCTTCCAGCTGCTTCAAATATCAATTTCTCTTCGTAAGGGTTGTCAGTTATTGTTGATACCAAATTTTACAACCTTATGTTCAGTAACATTATCATATCATCAGCAAATAAGTCCTTCAGTCTAACGAGGCCATTTTTAATCCACTGCTTAAACCCAGGCTGAAGGTCAGGATTGTTCACAATGAAGGTAAAAATAGATCTGTCAGTTTTGACCACACTAGTGCATTTCAGGGTCACCACAATTTGCTTTTATTGTTTTAAAGTATATTAAAAATTGGGTTCTTAATTCTAGTTGTGAAGTGTCATGTTGCAGCTAAATACCCCTCCCCCCTTCCAAACATGAAGAAGAACCTGTGGTAGCTTCAGTTGTTATAAAAACTAAAAAGGTGTTTAGTTTGTCCAGTCTGAGCTACTGTAAAAATAACATAGCTGCCTCAGAAATGAAGGTTATTTCAAGTGAGTATATGAAATAAAAGTTGAGTTTTGGAAGTAACTATGTGAGGAGGTTTTTGTTTCATTGAGAGGTACTCGTTATAAATTCAGGGAAGCTGATGGAAACTAAACCTCTAATGATACCCTGACATTCCATTGAAAGCTTTGAAATTTGAAAATCTGTTTGATTACTTTTAGTGAAGCTTATTTCCACAAGAAAAGTCTCAATAAACACTTTCTATCCACCACAGTGTTTCCAGATCAACATGGGGATGTGCAGACAACAGTTTTTTCATCAGTTAATGACTTAGAGATAAGAGGGATGCACAGCTCTCCTGAGCAACGGACAGGGCAGAAGAGGAAGGAAAAGATCCAACTGTGCAGCACAGCATTTGATTCTGACAGCGACATCATGAGGCTGAACCATTTGACTGGTGAATATATTTCACCGCCATCAAACCTTTACTATACGTTCATGTAAATAAG